AGTAGTAGTAGTAGTAGAAGAAGAAGAAGAAGAAGAAGAAGAATATATGGAAGAGGAAAATGTGCTGATTAGATAAAATTTTTAGTTCTTCCTTACTTATTGRTKCWKGTTTTTAAGTCTWTRAGGDTTCAATAMAGCATTTAGCAATGTTTGTGTTGATTAAACCCTAATAGATAAGAAAATAATAAAAAGAAATTAGTATATAAACACACAAAATGATTATTTAGTTTAATAATGTCCATTTTATAATTATAATCTCAAAAAAGAATGAATAAAAAAGTTTTTTATAGTAGGAAGCAGAAAACTGTTACACGATTAGGCGAGGCAAGCCTCAAAGGGCACCTTGTCGCCTAGGTGTCCGCCTAGGCATCGCCTTGACAACTATGTTCATAATTGAACATGATGTAGGAGATTAAATCCCACTGATTCACATTATGGAGTCATATCTCATAACTTTTCCAGTGCTCACAAAATCACAGGTTCTTCTTTGGTGATCTATTAATAACAAGAAACAACTGTATTAAAATTTAAAAGAAATTATAATGTGTCTGCATGCTCCAATAATGAAATGACATTGTGATAAAAGCTTGATTATTACTCTTCTTGCACTGTCAAAGGAAAGGCACTATATATAATTCATGATCCACCATATTGAAACTTTCTCCTTTTATGGGCTTAATCATGTTGCATAATCAGCCATAAAAATTATGTTGCATGTCTGCTTGTGAGATAACAAAGAGTAATGCATAACCATCTTTAAATCCTGAACACCTTTTCTCTTTGACACCAAAGCCTGAGGGCTAATTTTTCTGTATACTTCTATCACTTTATGTAATATTGAACACCAAAACCACCAATGCTAGTGCATAGAATAAAAATAACTACCATGTCCCTGATTGGGGAAATTCCACAAGGCAATTGAACTTTTTCAACTTTTGAATTGACACATCATGTGTACATTGATTTTGAACTGAATTTATTTGTTACATTAATGAATCAAAATATACGACACATCTGAGAATTTACATCAACTGTGGAGGAAGGCAAAGTAGGTTTGACTATGAAGAATTAATTCCTAAACCTGTAACATGCAACCTAAGATAAGTGCTTATCTGGTTCCAAAAAGAGAATCTTGATCCAAAGAAACGCACCATCACTAATTTTCTTGATCCTTCTCTAACAAATTCTAAATTCCCGGAGGTTCCATATTCAATAGATTCAGGATCTTCCAGAAGAGGTAATGTAACAGAACCCTGTGAATCAAGGTTTCTGATCCATCCACGTAGTAAATAATTCACAACCTGATCAATGAGAACCCAATTTCCATAACTATTCAAATAATGGAGAATATAAAAGCAAAATGAAAGTAGCCATATAATATGAGCTTAACAACCCAAGGAAATAATGTAAAACTCAATTAAAAATTTTCCTGCTTCTAAACTATGAAGAAATAGAGTTGTACCTCAGGAACCTCATCATGGGGGCAGTGGCCAGCTGGGCTGATCTCATAATATGGAGCTTCAGGCAGTTGTCTTTTCACTTGATGCCCCCACACAGGCATCACCCAGGGGTCTTCTTTCCCATACATGAGACAGATTGGGACATTGTTCTCTTTGCACCTGAATAAGGGGATACGAAGTCCTTAACTTGGAATAAGAACAATGAAAATATCAATGATGTTTCTGTATCAGTTTGTATTCTAATATTACACACCTAGATAAAGCTTCACGGAAAGAAAGTTGTCCTTTAGGAGCAAACATGATTGAAGCAAATGATGCAGCTGCTGCAGGATGCTGTGTGACCTCAAGTATACGAGAAAAAACTTTATCAACCTTTGTGGAATGATCAGCATATACCTGCTCAAGTACATCAGCTATGCTTCTGGGATCACTTATCTTTTGCCATCTGCATTAGAGAGAGTGTTTTTTCAGTAAACCAGCTACTGGTACAAAGGAAAGACAGAGAGAGAAAGGATATTCTTCTTTCAGAATATAAGGTCAACATGAAATATAAGAAAGTTCCATCTCATAACAAGATGATATTTTCCATCCTTAAGCAAGGAAATGAAGGATTATCTACATCTATTCCCAGAAAATTGTCAACACAAGATTACCTTAGTGAAAGAACTGGCATTCATCTTTCACATAAAATGGAAAGAAAACTATTAATTTGATTGATGGAAGTAGAAAACTTACACCAATTCTGTGAGCTTTTTGACATTGGTTGGCAGCGGAAAAGTCCCAGCCCATGGGAAAATCCTGGCTAACTTCGGAGAACTTATAGGATTAGGAAGAAATCCCCAAAATGGTGTTGCATTTAGCAGTGTAACACCCTTTACTAGCTCAGGATAGCATGCTGCTAAGTACAATGCAACAAATCCTCCTAGTGAATTTCCCACAACATAAACTGGTTCTCCAATAACCTGTATCAGGAGTCAGGACTAGCCACTTCAGTTTTCTCCTACATAAATTGGAAAAGAAATAACCCCGTTTTAAATTATATAAAACATGGTGAACAAAGATTTATTTAACCATAAGGTTATATTGCTACGATTAACATTTTATCAAGCAGCAATGATTGAAATATTGGATTAACAGAGCTACCCCGATTCACTATTCATTGAAAACAGATTTTGAATTTTATACTGAGAAGCAAGGATTAAGAAATAAGAACCTGAATCTTCTTGAACAGCACACATAAGATCCTATATCAGTACAACTAATAATCTTATAGATTAGTGCAATTTGCAAAGATATATAAGGATGGAAGTACTGCACAATTTGCACTATCATTATGGTTTTACTTTTTTTTCAGTAAAAAAAAAATTATTGATCAAAAGAGTTAAAAACACTGCAGTGTTTGATGACACTGCACTATCAGTAACAAAATTTGCACTATCAGATGCAAACAACACAAAACAACAAAAAATTATAAATATAATTACAATCATCCAGCACACAACCATTCCTCCCTGGAAGATACAGACATTTAACAACAGCACAATTTTATTATTAGAACAATAACTAGTGGGAGAACACAATTAAGGGAAGACCTCAAACATCCATCAGCAAAATAGATGTGGATAGGCTGACCAAATCATCTACTCAAAAGGCCAAATGATCTTAATCCAGGAATGTGATTCCCCAATACAATGGATTCTTTGGTATCCCATCCCAAGCTATATTGTCTGCTAGAAAGTTTTAAAATATTGGTACCAAAGAGGATAAAGTGTTAATGTAGTTAACTAAGGATCTTGCCTCTCTGATGAAGTGTCTAAGTTCCCATAGCCCCTCCTTGAAATTCCTCCTTCCTATCACCATTGCTGAGTCTCCTTCAGCTTCAAATATTTTAAGTTATTTTCATCCTTTCTGACAATAGAAATAATATACTGGAAACAACCAAGTCAATAGATGTTAGGCTCATTCCTGTCTCTTTATCCCCAGAATATGTAGAAACATAAAATAGCAGATCTTTAATTAACAATGAATTTCCTACTACCTATCATTCTCTAGAAGTTTTGAATCCATTAATGTAATCCAGATATCTTTTCCATGGATTGAGGAGTAACACAGAGTGTACCAGTCCACGTAATATCAATTAAGCGGATAAGGAGCTCAATGTTCTATTCATAATTTCATGTTCAAATTCTAAAGGCAAGTGTAGTTGTGGTCTTTTTTTGTTGCACAAAATAGTTGGCCATTGCATCAAAGTAAGATAGCAATGAATGACATATAGATTTTCAACTTGAAAGGAGAGTCTCACTTCCTTTGATGGGAATGAAAGTTTGCAACATCATTGTAACAGCATAAGCATACAATTAATTAGAAGAAAAAAAACAACTTTCAAAGCAGGATAAAACATAGAAAATCCATTTGAAGAGCATTGAAAAAGTAATCGAAAGACATTAATTAGGTATTGTCTAAGAAATAAGTAAAATATGAAAATGTTCAAGAATATGTTGAACTTTTATAAGATTTACTACGTCTTCTGATGTACAAGTGAGTAGAGTGAGAAGGAATTTCATACATTTACAGAAATGGCTAAGCGTAACCTAAATGCAAGATTTCTGGACTTCGTAGTGCACTCTGACGTTTCCTATTTGATAAAAAAAGGCCATTACCCAATGCAGTGCATCCCTTGGTGTTTTCCAGATGATCTACAACCAAAGCTCTCCATGTTTTTGGAGCACAGAAACATGGGGTTTTAAGCCTTAATGACCTTTCAGATATACTAGTCTCTTTTCTTTTTTCCATGTGGGTCAACGTGTTTAAAGCCATAGGATGCTCAAGGTCATGTCCAGAAGATAGCAAGAAAGTTGGTTTGATAATGGCATGATAAGTCTAGGACTAAAGCCTTCTATTCATGCAACCCTTCTGGATGGTTGAGACTGCACTTAGAGGGTTGGAATCATAGTTTAAGATCTCTGAAGACTTCCTTTTAGTGTTTTGTTTAATTTTAGTACCTTTCCAATTGAACTAATGCCAACTTCAAACATGGATTGGATTGGTTGCATGAATATATATAATAAGAAAAAACAACTCAAAAAAAGTCCCCACTCTATACAATGATATTTGACACTCTTGACTCTCCAAATTGGACTAATGCCAACTTCTGCTTTGCAGATTGCATAGGCATCCAGTTGTATCATGACTCTCAAAATCTTGCTTTGTGGATGGGTTTACTGGATTGCATTGGTCTTTGGTTTTTCCATCCTGAGCCTTGTTAATAATGGAAAACCAACATAGTCAATTGACACAATAATTTCAACTACTGGGAGATTTCAAACTCATGAAGATAGGTTAATAGTAAAATGCATGTTTTTTTTTTCTATTAAATTTTGAAAATCAAACAAACTCAGGGTAATAGGTAACTTGTGCAACCATCATGTGAAGTTTACTTGGTACTTCCCGTTTCCTATTATATAACACCATAGAGGAAACAGGGCAGAACTGCTTGCAGTTTTACAAGGAGTACAAATTGCTAATGAATTGAATATAGCCAATATTGTGATTGAAGGGAACTCAAAATTGGTTGTGGGTTGGCTATAGGATCCAGAATCTGTAATATGGTGCTATATGGATGAAATAAAAAAACTTAAATGGATCACCAAGAATATGAACTTGAGGATACAATGGGTGAGGAGATCGGCAAATGGGCTAGCAGATACTCTATCCAAGCAAGGAGTGAATAGGCAGTCTTTGTTTTCTGTTTTGTTTACAGAGAGGTAGTATCTCATGCCTCTCTAAGGGATGCTTGTAATGGTTATACTTTCAGCTTTAATAAAACTTAAACCCATTTATCAAAAAAAATATCATAGAGGAAACAGGCTGCTTGAGGAAAATCCTTTAAAATAAAGATGCACAAAGTTAATGTGATGCAATCCCAACAAGCATCTATCCTGTGACATAATTTAATGCAGTGTACACAGAACAAACCAATCAAAATTACATTAGGGCCAGACAGTAATAGATGATTTCATACATCTCCATGGAATTGGCAAAGGTACTCAATGACAATGTAGAAACAATGGGTAAAATGCAGTTCATATATTCTAAGACTCATTTAAATACCTGTTGTACAAAATGGTGAACCTGATCTCGCCATAGATCAACTGAATATACCAGCTGATCTGCCCATGGTTCAGTTTCATTTCCAAACCCCCAAACCAGATCCTTTTCTTCTGAAGCACCTTCTTCCTTAGCCAGAGGAGCTGGGTCTTCAGATGGCAACGACAAACCCTGTCCTAGAAAATCAATAGCCCAAACTCTGAAGTCACGGCCCAGATCCTTCAATTGCTTCTCATAGTGGAAGGATCCAACACCAAAACCAGGAAGAAATAGTATGGGTGGTGAATTAACATTATTGGACCCAGATTTTTCATAATGCACAGTAAGTTTTGGTTTCCATTCCCAGAAGCAACTAGTGATGGGAGAACCATGGTCACCATTTGATTCCTCTGGCAGACCAGGAATTAAGACCTTTGTTATCACCTCCCCTCTTTCTGATAAGTTTCTTATACCCTCTCTCCCATCAACTACATAACAATTATAGCTTTTGCTCAAGATTCTGGATTTTCCACTCTGCTGAAGCTGATCAAAACTCTGGATCTTGGAAAAACTTAAATGCTCTAAATTAGATAACTCAAAAGAATCCAATTTGGAATTAACTCCAACATGTCCAAGTCGAGTTTTCCTATCAAGAAAGAGCTTTGACCTATTCAAATTCAAGCTCTTATCAACTAAACTCCACTTCGATCTATCAATGTGACAGTACGGCATATGGTGGCAGAAGGAGAGCAGTTCCATCGCTTAGAAATTGCTTCCTGTTATTAAAAAAAAAAGGAATAAACTGCAATTTAGAGATAAAAAGGTAAGAATTTTTGCTTCTGTAAAATTTATTATTAAGGAAAGAGGAACTCAAAAAAAAAAAAAAAATCGCAAAAGTAACAAAACTAACTTTAACAGTTCAAACACGATTGGTGGGAGAAAAAGCAGATACAGAACAAACTAACCAACAAAAGGCATCAATTTTGAACTGTTAATGACTATGTCCGATAAAGAACCGAATACTTAACCAAAAAACAAAAGAAAAGAAAACAAAGTTCGCCGGTTGGTGATCGGATTTGATTAGAACAACTGAAAAAGAAAAACAGGTCTAGAAGCTTGTACCTCTGAATGGCAGATCGAGCTACGATTAAAACCATATATATCTTGCAACTATAGTTTCTATGAGCGTAAGAGTCGAGGAGACTCCAGAGACAGAAACAGTGACAGCGAGAGAGAAGGTTGCTTACAATCTTCACCCTCTCCAAGAAAACGGTCGAACTGAGGTGAGAGAGAAGAAGACGGGAATTATTGCACGTGCGATAAGATCAAGCTTTTTCTAAGTTAGTTAATTCCGGTAATTCACACGTGTGGAGTTTCAATATGAAGTTTTTAAGGAATTGGGATCTGCTCCTCACACCGACTTCACAGGCACATCCTCCCTATATTGAGAATATCTTCTATCAATAATAAAACATATATACATGAGTTGTTCCGCCCGTGAAGTTGGTGTAAGGTGCGCTCTGTGCGCTGTGAGGAGCAGATTCGGTCTCGTTTTTGAAACCATTGACATTAATGCTGAAGTGGCTGACTGAAACCGAACCGAGTCCGAATCTCCTCCCAACAAGAGAACCGTTCCAACATTATCTCTATCCGTGCATCTCATTAGGGCCCACCATGCATGAGATGTATGGATACAGATAATGTTGGAAGCTGTTGGAACAGTTTCTGTTGGAGGAGATCCTAAGTCGGCTGAAGTGAATACCAAACGGCCGGCCTTATGGGCCATGGATTGGCTGACACCTGATTGCTTATTGGGTTGTTTGGACTTTAGCCAACTATGATTGGGCCAGTGGGTCCAACTGAAAAGTTATTTGGGCCCCTTGTTGAAAAGAAGGAAGAAAGAAAAGGAAATATCAAATGCCACCAAACCAACTTGTTTGGCCGGTTTAGACTTTTGGACTGTAGACCCTTTCAGAGGAGAGACGGTATGGTACACGCAAACTCTCAGCTTCATGAATGCGTATGCGTGTCAATGACTCTCGGTAGAGTCCTGAGTTTGATATGTGTCGGTGTTTGACAAAGTATAGTTTGACACGTGGTAAGAAATGAAGGACTGAAACCTTTACATTCATGGAATCACTAGAGAATTCACTAGATAATGACCCCTTATTAATTACAAGGTATTCACTACTATGTGTATAATTTACTTAATAGTTTATTATTTAGTTATCAAAAATTAATATGGGTCTTTTATTTTTGTAATTGACAATTTATTCTAACCTATTTTATTTGAAATCTATTATTAATTTATTTTTTTAATTTGATTTAAGATATTAAATGAGATCTTATTAGTAAGTATTTACTATTTCTCTAATAAATCTATTTTGAATTATTTATTTTTAAAAGTTAAATTAAGTTGGTTCCTAAAAATCAAATCAAGTTTATAATTAATAAAGTATTTTCTTTTTGAAAAAATAAATATTTAAAAACAAACATGGGTTTATGGTAATCTTTTAATGGGTCCTACCATTTTTATTTAATAGACTATGGATAAAAGTGTTTTAAACTAATAAATAACTGTCTATTGGAAATGCTTTGGAGTGAAATTAATCACTTTTTGAATTCTATTTCTTCAATTAATAGGATGCCATGTGTTTAGATTTCCAAAAAATAAGAAGGCCACTTGTTTAAATGGTGATAGTCGATTATGGGCCAATTATTGCTTATTTTTTTGGTTAAATACATTACATTTATTAAAATTTTTATTTAAAGCTTCCCACTTCAGAGGAAAAGAGGATTTGATTGAATGCAACTGATGGTGGTTCAGTTCGTAAGTTTTCTGGCTGGTTGTAGCAAATATTGGTGTGACTTGGGTTTGGGGGATTACGTAGGGATGTAATTTGGGCGGGTCTGATCCAAATCTGGACCAATTTAGCCTATAATTTATGCATATGTTTGGCATTGATGTTGCAGATACATCAGGAAACGGTGCTGCAATGGTGTCTTTTTTTTTTTTAAAGAGTTGCTGCCAGGTAGGACATTTCCTGGAGCAACAACAACATTTTTTGTTTGGTACCAATGCTCCAGGAAACGTTTTCAACACTGGTACCTATTATCTAGTGCCACGTCATGTCCCTGTTGGCATCAACAAACTGTAGCTATAGGAAACACCAAATTCAGCGTTGTTCCAAGCCATGCCTTCTCGATTTCTAAAGCATGGCTTAGTGTCTATTTGGAACCGTTGTTGTTGCTCCAGAAAACGGCACCACATCAGCGCCATGTAGGAAAAAATGGTACTCCAAGAAGCAGTCATATGTTTGGAACCACTTTTCCATATAAAATAGTGCTCCAAGCCACACCTTGGAAATCGGGAAGGCATGACTTAGAGCAATGCCAAATTTGGTGTTTCCTGGAGCTGTAGCTCGTTACTACCAACAACCCGTTGCTCCAGGAAACGTCCTACCTGGCAGCAACAATTCCAAACAAAAAAAAACACCGTAAAATGCTATTAGATTGTGTAGACCATACTAGGCCCTCAAAACCTCACTGGGTCACCTGTACATTGGTTCAACCGTCTGGGTATGGCCCGATTCATCTTGTACAAACCAAATATTTTGCCCATATTGCTTTTATGACTTATGAAACTAAGAAAATGCATCCCATGTGGAATCCAGATCTGCAGACCACAAAACATTGCTGATCATATTCATTCAATAGCATATGGGGAATATTAGTGATATAAAACACAAGAGATATTCCCAATGTGTGGTTGGGTGAACGTGATCAACAATGTGTTGTTGTAGTCAGCAGATCAGAACACATTGGGGCCTTTTGGGGCCTAGCCCCATGGCAAATAAATGGAATGGCGAGTTATGGCTAGACCTGGCAATTGGGTTGGGTCAATATACTTCGGGTTGATTTCGGGTTGGGTTGTCAAATGTAGACCCTAACCCTAAATGTTCGGGTTAGGGTTGACCCATGCGTCAATTCGGGTCATCCCAAAAAATAATTGAAATTTTAAAAATAAAGAAAAATTACATGAAATATGTCAAAATTAAAAGAATTAACCTTAAAATTCTAAATATAAAATAAAAAAACTTGAACATTTAACAATAAAAAATAAAGACTAAATAGAAAAAATTAAAGAGTAGAAACTTCTAACAATGCATAAATAATCCCAATTAAACTTAACAATCGGGTCAGCGGGTTGACCCATGACCCAACCCAATCCTATTTTTTCGAGCCGGATCATGTCATCTTCACACTCGAGTAGCTAAATATGAGACCCTAACCCTATTTTTTCAGGTTGGATTGGGTCGGATCAACTTTTTGCCAGGTCTAAATTTATGTCATGTGGCCGGCCAAATCATGTAAATGGCATGGCATGTCCTCTACTCTTCGTTTGGATACTATGCCTATAATAGTCGTGGCCCATGGTTGGATGATGATTAGTGGGATACAATCCTGACCCAAGCCAACGTAGTTGAAATTCTTAAAATATGAGAAAATGTAAGTTTTTAAAAGAAAATTCTTGCCCGATTTTAATTGATATTGTCTTTTTAGGCCGGAGATCTCGTTAACCTTTTTATTCACGTTTTTTGTATACATGAGAAAAGGAGATATACACGACGGGTATCACGTCCCAAGTCACAGACCAAATATAAGGATGCAAACCGGGCAGGCTCAGCCGGGTTTTAGCTCAACCAATGGTCTTCATTGAAAGTCTTCCGGGTTATGGTTGTTTTCCCACATATGCCATGCCACAAGAAGTAAACAATCCTTTCAAGCAAGAGGAAATCATTGTCTTTTAATCTAAGGATTCTTCTCCACCAATCCATCATCATTGAGTCCCTTTCATTTGGTCCAGGAATTTGGCAATCCAAATTTGCTCTACATACTTAGGCTCGGTTTGGAAAGAGTACAAATGCAAATATATACATACAAAATAATACTAAATATAAGGTTTTGCATTCTATATATTTGTATCTGTATTTCTTCCAAATTGAGCCTTACAAAAATATGGCTTGTACTTTCTTTTCCTTTCCTAGGGCTACAAATGGATCATATCTGATTCGGCAAGGGCATATCCGATCCGTTAAAAAAATTTGACTGATCCAAATCTGATAAGGATTCGTTGGATTTTCAAAAGCATGATTCAAATTCGAATTTGAATGTATTATCGGATATCTGATTTGAATCCAATTCAATTAGAATTATATTTATATTATGTAATATAAATAAATAATATAATAATATATTAAATTATATAGTATATAATATATAATACATAAATGATATATATAGTATACATATATAATATCTAAATAATATATAATATTTCATAATTAACGGATCGGATCAGCCAATAAGAGTAATCCTACCTACCACAGATAACACATTCTGCTTTCCAATTTGATAACTTCTTTGTAAAATCTCTCCCATCTTCTTCAATGATCCTTGCTAACCTTACCCTCAATTACAGGAGCACCCAGGTAGGAGTTTTTTTTTTTTTGTCTAATGGGATATTGAGAATCTTTAAATTATGCTTTTGCAACTTTGCGTGTAGGAAGATAGGATTTTTGCAAATTTTGACAAATTTGTCGCAAAGAGAAGTATTGCCCAATTTTCTTTTATATGAAGAAGACAAGATTTTTCATACAATAGATCAAATATTTAGGATCTATTTATTTCTAGTGCAAATTCATTTACATTGGTATAACTGTATAAGAATGCCCAATTTTCTTCTTCAGGCTTTATTTAATTTGCATTGTAAATAAACAGAGCAATTAAAATCTAAAATAAAAGTAAATAAGAATTTGCTCTCAACTTGTTTCTACTGTCATACTTTTGTAGCAGTAAAAAGGAAGTTACAGTGTAAACAAACTATACATTAGGTTAAAGTGGTGATGCTCATGTTTATTTGTATCTTCAATGAATTATGGAATGGAATGGGTCTAAAGACTGCCCTTGAAGACTTTGTTATTATGATGCTTTGATATTCTGGCATTCTATCAGATGATCTAATGTGATTCTTATTGGACTAGTGGCCATAGGCCCTTGATTTGGAATCCTCAACGTGTAGAAGAATCCACTGGCCATGTGAATCACCCAGTGAATACACTTCAACACACACCAATTACTCTATGAATAGTGGGAGTTCATTTATTATACTCTATTTATATGTTGATGATATTCTAATAGTTAGTAATGATATATCTATGATAAATAAAACAAAATATTGGGGGAGTATAATTTTGAAATGAAAGACATGGGAGATG